GTGATCTGAAGCGGTATTCAGTGATTACAAGCCTGTATACATATGTGTGAAGACTGCTCACGCTTCAGCGAATGATGAAGAGACCTTCAGGTTATTCCAGCATTCAGCGATCAAATGAAGCTTGCTTAGCACGATTGTTGTTGTCTTGTCCTTATGCACACAAAGGACAAAACCATACCCTTATGAAAGTTTGTACGGTACGGAGCCAACTAGTCGACTCTATTGTCCACCAACTTTAGGTAAGGATGTCTGCTCATGAATAGTGCTTTTTGTACTATTCACTGTAGCAAAGGACAAACCTTCCTCTTAAGGCTTGACACGCATTCTAACCCTACCATATTGCATTAAATGAACATTTAATGCACCGAGTATAAATAGAAGTGTCTCTTCTCCATGCAGAGTGTGCGCAACTCACTCTCTAATTCTAATTCTTACTTCAAGTATTTTCTAGCTTAAGTAAAGGATCTTCTCTACAACATTTCTCTTCTTGTATTTGCTAAGATTTAGTGTGTAACTAAAGATTGTTTAGATAGGTTTTTATCACCTTATCTTTCCGCAAACAATCTTGTAAAATCTGTATTGATCTTCTTTATCAATATATAACTTAAATTTGAAAATATTGTGTTTTTATTCATCCCCCCTACTTCTACAAACTGTTTTACTATTCATGTAGACCCTCAAGGGACCAACAACATGCATTACCAATGCAATATGGGCAAGCTAACTTGTCATGCATGCTAAATTCGTTTGTCGATGAGCATCATAGGTAACGACACCATCAAAGAATAACATCTTCAACTCGTCGATCAAGAGCCGAAGAAATACATCCAAGTTCTGTCTAGGGCTCTTCTTGCCAGGAACCAGCAAATCCTGGTGGACGTTCCAGTCTTTGATGCACATCCAAGGTGGTAGATTGTAGTTTGTAAGAAAAACAGGCCATAAGCCCAAAAGAACATTCCCAATCTCTTGAGCAAAATCGGGATGCATCCTGTCAAAATGTTTCCAAGTCTCCCCATCACTAGGATGTACTATCTTTCCCGTCTCAGTTTGATGATCATGGTGCCAAGTCATCTCCTTTGCTATTTTCTTACACAAATACCATCGTTGTAATCTTGGTGTAATCGGCAAATATATCAACACCAAATTAGGCACCTTATTGTTTCGGTTGTCTTGTAACGAGACTCCCCACATACTAGACAACTGTTATCATCAGTATATTCCTTATAAAATAGCATGCAATGATTCTTGAAAGCATGTATCTTTTCTTTCGGAAGACCAAGATCCTTCAACATCTTCTTTGTCTTGTAAAAGCTACCAACCAGTTGTTCACCGTTATGTAGCATTTCTTTTACCATAGWAAGGTTACGATTGAAGGTTGTCTCTGGTACATTGCAATCTACCTTCCAATTCAAAAACCTTGCCGCTGCCTGTAACTTTGAAAATCTTTGGCATCCCTCCCATAACGGTTCATCCGCAACTCGTAACATATCATAGAAACGTTGTGCGTGTTGATTTGTTTCTTGCTCATCCCACGTACTTGATGTACCGGTAACATTTTGATCCATCACCGTTTGTTCAACACCATCAAACTCATTATAATCTTCGCCTACTACTGTTTGTTGTGATTGTTGAAGTTCGGGTTCTAATTCACCGTGTGCATACCAGTGACTATAATTGATCATGAATCCTTTTCTTAACAAGTCTATATGAATCTCGTCTCTATTTTTAAACTTTTGAAGTTGACATTTCTTACAAGGACATCTTGCCGTAGATCGCTCATTAGAGAAAACAAAATCCAAAAATCTAACAATTTCGACTTGGAAAACTGGATTTATAGTCTCGTTCTTATTTATTCGCTTATACATCCATCCTCTATCAACATTAGTCGACATAGCTACATATTTACAAAATTATGTATCAGTTTAATTAGTTATTATATATAGAATTACAAATACAAGTCTTAACGTTTGCCCAACAATTGGCAACCCATTTTTAAAACAAAACACACATCAATTTCGTTTATAAATACAAGTCCTAACGTTTGCCCAACAATTGACAACTTATTTCTAACACAAAATATACCTCAATTTTTTTATAAATACAAGTCCTAACGNCCTAACGTTTGCCCAACAATTGGCAACCCATTTCTAACACAAAATATACCTCAATTTTGTTTATAAATACAAGTCCTAACGTTTGCCCAACAATTAGCTATCCATTTCTAACACAAAACATACCTCAATTTCGTTTATAAATACAAGTCCTAACATTTGTCCAACAGTTAGCAACCCAAGATGTGAATTAATATGGGCGATTTTAGTTAAGCATCACTAATATTCTTGAATGAGGCTTTATAGGGAAATTCTTATTATCATGTATAGGAGTAATTAGAAAAACCTGTACAATCAGTGAACATGTTGATGCATTGTAATGTGGTAGCCTGGCAGTTGAAGTTGGTTTATTGGAACCATCTCTTTTTTCATTCATTTTTAGTTCTTGTGAAGCAAGTGCCTTTGCTCAAGTTTTCCCAACCCACCAAACTGGACGAAATAGGAAGGAAAATGAAGAGAGGTATCCAATGTTACATGTTGCAAGTTGTGAGTGCTTATTCTTAACCATGGACAACTCCGGTTTATATGATCTTGCTATAAATATAAACAAGCAAAACTCTATTTTAATATTGGTGTTAAATGAAAATAAGTTCTAGTTATAGTGTATCTTTCTCTAGAGCAAGAGGACAAGTGGTTTCTCTAGATAAATTTATACATACATACATACATACATACATACATACATACATACATACATACATACATACATACATGCATGCATACATGCATACATACATACATGCATGCATACATACATACATACATACATACATACATACATACATACATACATACATACATACATACATACATACATACATACATACATA